GTGTGTTTACACACAGCAGCACACACACCACCAGCACCTCCAACCTTGAGCTAAAGGCAGAAATAGCTCAGCCCACAAACACAGCACTCAGCACCGGGAGAGCTGAGCAAATTTGGCAGTGCTTGTTTTCCTATGGGCACAGAGTCTGACTCAATGCCATTACCTGAATCACGTCCATCACGTCAGCAAAAAGGTGAGCGATCTGTCAAGAATTTGGGACTAAAGGAAGTTCTTCGTAAGGAGGAAAGGTGGCAATATTTGGGGGGGGCTGCAAAGATTCCAGCTCACCACGCACTTTAGCAGCTGCGTCAAGCAGCTCCTGCAAACTCCTTCAGCAGGTTTCTCATAGAATCCTAGAACAGCCTGGGTTGCAAAGGAGCACAGTGCTCATCCAGCTCCAACCCCCTGCTGTGTGCAGGTCACCAACCAGCAGCCCAGGCTGCCCAGAGCCACATCCAGCCTGGCCTTGAATGCCTGCAGGGATGGGGCATCCACAGCCTCCTTGGGCAACCTGTGCCAGTGCCTCACCACCCTCTGGCTGAAAAACTTCCTCCTAAAGCAAACATTTCAATTTCTTTATATTGCCCTATTTTTAATTGTGTTGCATGGTGTATCTCCAGCCCAACCCCAGCCCACCCCACCATGCCCACGTCCCTAAGTGCCACATCTCCAAAGTTCTGGAACACCTCCATGCAGGGTGACCCACCATCCCCAGGGCAGCTGTGGCAGTGCTGTACCAATTCTCTCCAATAAAACCCTTTTGTTGCAAAAAGCCACCGATTTTTGCCCGGAGAAATCAGGCAGGCAGCCTCAGACACCACAACTGTGTTGTCTTTGTTTTTTGTTACCTGCAGAAATACAAAGCAAAGCAAGTCCACATGCTTGGAATACATACTCTGAGGACTTCTGCCTATGGCAGAGGGAAAAAGCTCCTGTGAGGAAAGAGTCTCCAGGCTGAAATTAGCACTGAGATGCTGGTGTAATGTACAGCACATTGCTAATGAAAGGAAGAATGCCAGCGATTATTTAATGCAGGACTTCCGGACTGCTCATCCTTAATTATAGTCCTATTTCAATAATTAATCTTAACAGCTCCTCCTCACAGACACAGGGTGCGATTTTCAACCTTACTGCAGCTTTTAGCACACAGAATCATCTAATGAAAAGCAGATACTTGCTGTTAGAATATTAAAATATTTACCTTCACCAGGGAAAAAATACACAAGAAAATCCAAAGTGCCACATCACTGGATACTACAGAATACTCTTTAAGAACAGAGAGGCAACAACACTTCCCTCCAGCCTGGAGGACTCCAGTGTGGGAGGTATGGGTGTCCCTGTGCATCCCAAAGCAGTTTCTGACAGCAATCCCAGCAGCTTCCCCAGAGCAACCCTTCTTGTGACCCCATCCAGGTCATAACTCCCAGCTAAAATTAACCCACGTCCCACTCGAAGGCATCAAGTGACCAAACACAGAACGCTGCCAGCAAACACAGCCTGTGCTCAGCCCGTGCCTGCAGCTGCCCCTGCCGGGCTGCAAAGGTCGCTCCTGCCTGTGCTCACTGCCCAAGGAATGCATGGAAACCCCTCACTGCAATGCAGCTGACTGCTGAGATGAGGGCTGGTTCTCCCTCTCTCCTCCCACTTTAGGAGGAAGTTTTTCAGCCAGAGGGTGGTGAGGCACTGGCACAGGCTGCCCAAGGAGGCTGTGGATGCCCCATCCCTGCAGGCATTCAAGGCCAGGCTGGATGTGGCTCTGGGCAGCCTGGGCTGCTGGTTGGTGACCTGCACACAGCAGGGGGTTGGAACTGGATGAGCACTGCGCTCCTTTGCAACCCAGGCCATTCTGTGATTCCTTTACTTCACTATCAGTCATTCAAACATTAATTATCCAGCACGGATAACACATTTCAAGCACGGTTTTAAACCATCAGCAATTCTAAAGCTTTGAAAGAACAAGAAATCCAAGCTTTAGGAAGCATTGTCCCCATGGCAAACTTTCCTACTGCAATCAACTGGCCTTATGCTATTCATGTGATGTCATTCCCTTATTTGTGAATGCAAAGCTGCTATGCACGGCTGTGTTTCTGTTAGAAAAGCTCTGAGCAGCAAGACACCAAATCCAGGGGGTACAGGACAGAAGACTGCACTCAGACCAAGGGGAAAGAAAAAAAAAAATGGGGAAAAAACCCACAGGAAATTATTCTTGCAAATAAGCAAAGCAGCTTAAACATACAAAGCTAAACAGGATGGTTAAAGCACCTTAGGAAGATGCAGTGAGAGCAGTCAGGTAGAAGAGCTGACCCTGCCCCATGTGAGAAATAGGAGGAAGATGAGAGTTGTTTTTTTTTTGTTTTGTTTTTAAGACGAGCTGTTGTTGCCTCTGGTACCTTGGCCAGGACTACACCTATACAGTTTTGGTTTTCCAGTGGGTTAAGGAACTCCTTGTGCCTCGGTTAATGCAGGATGATTGAGGCTTTGCTACTTCAGTGAAGCCTGAAGGTTAGCCAAAATCTTTAGTATGCACAAGGGCAACACAAAGTACTTGCTTTATATTCCAAATGCCCAAAACAAGATTTCTGTGGAAATCACAGGTAACCATGGGCAGCCTCACACAGACACACAGTTTTCCATCAACTTCAGAGAGAACAGTTTGTGGTTCCAGGTCACACAAAAACAAAGAAACCCCAACAAGTTGCAGTCCACAGTTGGAACGTTGCAGGCTGACACAGAATCACAGAATGGCCAGGGTTGGAAGGGACCTCAAGGATCATGAATTTCCAACCCCCCTGCCACATGCAGGGCCACCAACCTCCCATTTAGTACCAGACCAGACACCTTTATGCCCACTCCCATTGGCTGTAATGCACCTTAGCCAGGATTAAGGGTCTGCTCGTGTGGATACAGATGGAGGCATGAGTCGATTTTTGGTATTTGGGTTTCGCTTCAGACTCTCACGTTTGTTTAAATGTGAGACTGGCACATCATCATCCAATCGTACAGACTACCAGCAAACAGCTATAGAAAAAGTTAACGGCATTAAACGCCTGCTGGCATAAAGAGCTGCTTGGGTCAGCTGCAGAGCCGAGGGAAGCAGCAAGGCACCGCCGTTCTGACATTTGGCAGACAGATGTGAAGGGCGTCGGGCGTGAGGACCTTCCACACAACGCCCCGCTTACCAACCTTCCCGAAATAGCACAAGGAATCACTCGCAGCAGCCGCTAACGATACAAACCACCGCTGGTAAACAGGGCCCCATCCACCGGGCACCTCAGGGCCGCCCCGCCCTCACAGCACAGAACACCGCCTCCCCCCCCCTACCCCCCCACACCGCTACCTCTCGGAGTCGCGGCCGTCGAAGAAGACGAAGTCCCCGCCCTGCACGCACTTGGCGCAGGTGAGGCGGCGCCGGGTGGTGTTGCAAAGCGGGCAGCGCTCCACCGCCACATACAGCCCCTCGGCGTCTTCTTCGGCGCCTCGCAGAACCCCCGGTCCGGTCCCGATGCCGCCGCCGCCGCCCTGCCCGCCAGGCTGCGGCCGGCAGCCGCTGGGAGACGCCATGATGGGCTCGGCGCGCCGCCGGTCACGTGGGACTTTGTTGTCGGCCCGGGGCATTGTGGGGAGCGGCGCTGAGGCAGCGGGGCGGGCTGAGCCGCGCTCCTCACAGGGAGCGGGAATTGGCGCGTAAGCGCTTAGCGCTGTCGCTCCGCAAGCCGACGGCACGGTTAAACAAACAACAGGATCATAAAATCACGGAGTTGGAGGTAGAAGGGACCTTCGATCCCGGCTCCCCGCAGCGCCAGGACACCCACAGCTCCGTCAGCGCTCGGAGCCCGAACCCCGGTGTGTGCAGGACATCACCGGCACCCTGTGCCTCGCCGCCCTTGTTCTTAACAGCTTTCCCCTCATACCCAGCCTAGATCTCCCCTCTTTCAGTCTGAAATCATCTCAAACTGAAGAACAGCAATACTTGTTTTTAAGACGAGTTACCATAGCAAACATGAGGTTATCAGCAGCTCTGAGAAGACACAGAGCCCATTTCTTATCTCCAAGCTCTTTCCGCACTTCTTAGAAGAGTGCCGATTTTACTGGTGAAATTATGCAGCTCTTGATGAAAAAAGCAGTTTTCTTTCTCATCTCAGATAAGCCATCTCCAAACACCAATACGAGCAGGTTGTTGCTTTTCACTTGCAAGGATTCTGCTAAATCATGCTTATCAGCTTTAACAGCCACAGCGCAAACAGAAGTTCAGCCCACAGCGGTGGAAAGTCTGCAGTGTTGGAAAGCAAACAGAAAAGTCAGTCTCTGTTTAGAATAGATTTGAGCGTGGAAACCCACAGTTTGCTTGTGACAAAGAAGCTGATAAGGCAGTTGAGACCAGTTTATCATAAGGAAGTGCATGAAGTTTTCCAAGCTTTTTGTTCCGGAGGAGCAAAGTTATAAAAGTACTTGAGTGAGATTGCAGACACACTGAAGTCACTGCCTCTCCAAATCAGAAATAAGCTGGTGGCAGCAAGACATGACAGGTACTCTGTCCTGCATTAAACCATTGCCAACATTGTATGCTTCTACTGAGGACAGGCAGCTTTTAGCTTAGGTTGCGCTTAAATCATCAAATAGCAACCTCTAGCGGCTCAGGGAGCTTACTGACAGATCTGTCCCATCTTCAGCAGGAAACAAGGGGAGGAGATGAGGCCCAGCAGCACCAAAATTCTGTTCTGAGACAAGAAAAAGCACTCTCGCTTCCAGAGAATCGTAGCAGAGACCAGAACAGTAAAGGAATCATCTCTACACTCTTCCTACTCGTTTCACCTGAGAGAGACACCTCTAGCAAAGAAGGCCTTGACTTGAGGAAAGTGGAAGAGCCCCACAGCATCAGCTGCAAAAATCACCAAATGCTTTCATTGCCGTTATCTAGTTAAATAACTCATAATTAAGCCCTGAGCATCCAGGACTTTTTTTGTGTTTTCCTCAAGTCCACTTTAAAGGCTGTTCCTGATCAGTCATCATCTGATCAGAGTTCAGTAACACAAACAGGCAGCATTTTGTTAAAACCCGTGCCATGACCAATTAATCAATTAGCTTAGCAAGCCCCCTTTCTGAATGTGTTCCAGCACTGCCCTTCAATATCTTCTCTGCTAAGGGAACACCAGCACCGTTACACAACAGTTGATCCAACCTGTGTGATCAGAGGGAGTCCGGTGTCCTCTGCAGTCACTGCCTTCCAAACACTGAAATAAAGTCATGCTGGATTTTGTAAGCTGTAGTATAGAAAAAAACAAATGTATTTTGAATTTGAATGAGTCAGCATGAAAATACAACATTGCAGGAGCTGGGTTGCCGGTTGGTTTGAAGTGTAGTGTCAGTTTGCCTGTTCAACAGGGAAAAGGCAGAAGGTTTCAACTACAAACTAAATGCAACCTTATTATGCATGCTGTTAAAGGTACATTGGTTTGGTAAGTTTCTCTGCCTGACAGAAGTTGTCAGAACCAAAGTGAATTATGGACAGCAAATCTGCAAGCAAAAAACATTTCACAAACTGTAGGAAGGGATCAGCATTTATAGCATCCACAATAACATCACTTTCATCCTCCACATCTATACATTTGGGTCCAGGAATAGCCTTGACCTCTCTTCCATGCTTAGCAATACAAACCCATACGTTATTTCTATCTACTTTTCAGGCTGCTTCATGATGTTTTCTTGAAACCTCTAAGAATGGGATAGATGTTCTCAAATGCCTCATAGATTTCAGAACGCTCTTTTGCTCCTGTAAAGACATTTGAGGGGAAAAAAAAAAGGTAAGAAACAGTACTGAGAGCAACTGAATGCACTTCAAACCTAACGATGAGATTGCACACCATGAAGAAACAAGAGTTTAAAAGCAAATTTAAGCTAACATTGATAAAACTGGAGGAAGAATTTCCACCCTGTTACTTCTGCTACCTCACAAACAACAATCTCTAGCTTGCTGTAAGACTGGACTAGTTTTGTTTAAGCTGAGGCTTAAGGTTCTTCCTGAAAGTGTCATACATTAGCTTTGAAGTAATGCAGCTGCAAAGAATCATGGTTTTATCTGCTTAACCATAACAGCTCTGCCTCCTGATAAGAAGCAAGGCGGAAAAAGAAACGGAGAGATTTCTCCCCATAGTGGAAATTCATCCACAGTTAAAGAGCTCCACTCCTCCAATTCCAAGACGTTTTGTATTCTTTACACTGTGTTAGGTCACGAGTTTGCCAAACCATCTGGAACAGGCTCTTACTTCTCCACCCTTTCCTCTAATAATCCTAAGTATACATTGCCAGTGAAGTGTTTTAAGTTTACTTCCTGTCCAGTTCTCAATTGCTGCTTGTGATACTCATATTTAAGCAACTGTGAGTAGTACTGGCACATCAGGCTCCTGGTGGGATTCCTTGCAGCCATGAGGCATTATGCTTTGAATAAAGACACTCGAGTTTAATGACATGGAAATTTGAGACACTACACAAAGCAACATGAGGTTCTAGTGCAACAATACCAACATTGTTATCTGCAGAAAACACAGATAAGCAGCAGTAGGCATCAGAAAGACTGCTAAGTGGCTTTACTGCAGCAAGATATGACATCGGTATGCTCAATTTAAACACTTCCTCAGAGGATGTAGTAGCTCTCAGTTACAGATAATACGAGACCACTTACCAGTCAGAACAACTTTTCCAGACACGAAGATGAGCAACACTATCCTCGGTTTGACCATCCTATAAATAAGGCCAGGAAATAGTTCAGGTTCATAGCTGTTTGAAAACAAGCAGGTAAAATTAGTGAAATGCAAGTGCTGTTTCAGTGTTGCATGATGAAATGCTCTATGACTATACTAGCAGGAATCTAAACCCACAGATTATAGCTAGCTACCCAGAAAAAGACAGGTCAAAGTCTAAATATCCTGAACAGAAATGTAGTAAACCCCAGCAGAGCTGGTAGGAGTGCCCTGTGCTTACTGTTATAGACTTATGAATCCCATTTTCCATAGGTTCAAATAGCTTAAGAGTTGCCTCAATTAAACCTGAATTATTTTTAATAATATTTAAGTTTATTTATTATTATTTTTTAATATTTATTTTTTTTTCCTTTTGTACGTGGTCTGCAGTCTCCCTCTGAGCTTTAGCATCGGACTTGGCAATAATAGGAGACACAAAATGTTGGTCATTAGCTGCTCTTAGACATCCTACAAGGAGAAAGCAGCAAACAGCACAGGGAAGGAAGTTCAAGATGGGTTCATTGCTATCGTACTGCTGTAGGCTTTACTGCAACCGTACCACTACTGTAATTAAGCCAAGGGTCACTTTGGCCGGAGCCCTGCTCAGAACAGGAGTTAGTGCAGAAAGCATGCCTTGCTATCCGTATGTGGAATTTACAGCCACTTCTTGCCTGCTGAACCAGTTCTGGTGAGCCAAAGATACGCTTGATATTCACTACTCAGTTAATTATTACGTTAAATTGCCAGGCTCCAGAATTTGAGCCTCTTTACAGCTTACAAAGAACGTTCCAAGCTCCATGGAGCCATAACCCACTCTCCCACGTACCTGCTGAACTGCTGGTGGGTGAGAACCAGCCCTTCCAGTCGGATGGGGAACCTCACATCACAGCTCCCCACCATGTTCTGGATCTTGAAGTCCAGAAACTTAGCAGGGAACCCCAGCTTCTGCACCACACGTGCATACTTCCTTGCTGCGAGCCGTGACTGCTCTTCACTGAGGGAAGAGCAGAAGGAGGAAGCAGCCTTGAGGGCTTTCGTCTGCTCTGAAGCTGGAATTCCACGTAGAGCCACCACCATGCTACTCTGCTGCTGCTCGAAATAGTAAGCTCTTATCCCCAGAAGCACTTCAGTGAGCTATAAAGAATAGCGTGCTGTGGTGCTCATTTTCCTGTGGTTTATATGAGCACATCACCAAGGATTTCCACTGTTTAAGTAATGCCTTGCAGCATTATCTCATCCCTTCAATTAGGGCTGATCCAGGAGGGAGACCACAGATATCAATGTGGCCATCCAGCTAGGTGGGGGTTGGAGAAGAGGTTTCCTGAGCCATGAGTCAGTGCATCATCTCACGGGCAGTTTAGAGTCTTAAAGAAGAACAACATATTGAGGCAGCTGCTGAATTTGAGAGCAGGGCCTTCAGAGTACAGAAATCATCTTTGCTTTTCTCCAGCCCCCATTTTCACTACAGGCATATGTGTCGTCTAGTGAGCTGACACCAAAGAAACTTGACAGACACAAGTTACATCTCAACTCACTTTAAAGTCAGTGAGAAATGCAAATAACCCCTTAACAACTCCTGGGCATCTTAGCAGCTTTTCTGCTAATACCTACTCAGGTAATCTATATTCAGGGGCAGAAGCACGCAGGTCAGTAATTACAGAACTCCTGCCACAAAGAAAACATTTTCAGGACTAGTGCTTCATTTTTCTTGCAGTTGATAGCAAACCCTTTGCTAGGTAATTTAAACAAGGCTGAGCTGAGGAAGAACAGGTACAGCTGAAAGACCTTTGAGGAGGTAAAAGAAAGAAGTACCTTTTTGCTCCTGTGCAAACCATTTTTCCCGAGCTGAAGATAAGGGCCGTCGTTCGTGGTTCCCTGATCCTCATGATCACAGCAGCAAACCTCTAGAAATTCAAAGGCAAACCTCAGAGTCAAGCTGAAAGAATCATAGAACCAGAACCACAAAGGTTGGAAAAGACCACTAAGATCACCAAGTCCAACCCCAGCCCACCCCACCGTGCCCACTAAGCTGTGTCCCTCAGTGCCACATCTACCCTTCCTCAGTACCACGTCTGTTCGTTCTTTCAAAGAATTCCCACTACCACAGAGCTCAGCACTGCATGCAGTTACTTTGCAAAAGGATTTATTGACCACCCTGAAATTATTACACTTTCCCTCCACCCATGACTTGGGCATTTAGAACAACTAAACCTAAATTTTACTGAGCCTGGAGTCACCTACATGAACCCCACTTATTCCCAGTCCATTTCTACAGCATAGAGATGCACAATACCACTCTGACCCAAGTAATTCCCCTTCTTTTAGCTTTTGGACATATCTTTCTTTTCCCCCAGCAAGGGCTGTAGGTCAAGACAGTGCTGTTAGAAAAGGGATGAAGCTCAGGGTGCATCTGTATATTGGAGTCCAGCAGCACTGAGAGAAGGGAATAGGAATAGGAATAAAGCTCAGCCCTCAGGATTTACCTTTGGGTTATACTCTGCATTTCTGGCATGCAGAGCTATGTTCTTCAGATCTAGTTTACAAGCCAAGTTTACAGTTGACACAATATTCCTGAAGAATGAGAAAGATTTGTCATATTGCAGAAAGAAGCTGTTACAGAGCAAAACCCCAAAATTATTAGCAGCTAATGTGGAGTCACAGCCCTGTTAACAGTTGCCAACGTTTAATTTGCTGCCCACCACTTTCCCACTTCAGCACTAAGCTACTTTTGCCAAACTGTAGCCATTCAATACCAAAATTAATTTCTCAGAAGAGGAAACATAACCAGATACAAAATTATTAGTCCCAACGTACTACATTTATTTGTCTTCCAGTAACTAAATCACTGAAGTAATTCACAGCTTTGAATTGCACCACTGCTGAGTGTTTACAGACTTCCTAGAGCTCTCCTAAGGAAAGAGTACATTTGTCTTTACAGGTGTAAGCTACTCTGTATTTTCTCCAGCCTTTAACAGAGATGAGTCAGTGATGGTGGTACTGTGAGGATGGTACTGCTCTTCTCATGCTACATGTGCAACATCAACTTACTGTAACTGAGGAACTATGCCAGAGCTCTCTGATGCAGGTGTCACTGGGGTCATAGGAGTCATTGGTGTCAGGGGAGGACACACACCAGGTTCTCCTGGGCTTGGCTGGGTTGCACCTGGGTACGACGGGCTGCTTTCCTCCATGAAGATCCCTCTGTCCTCATTTCTCGGCACTGATCCGTTGAGCCCTCCTTGCATTTCATGACCATCTTCAGATGGCTTTTGTTCTTTGTTATCTTGGGTAATATCTGGAAGAAAGCTGAGGTCCACGGAGGAGAAGTCTGCAGGAAGCTCTTTGGGCTGATTAAATTGAGAACCAAATGCTACATCTTCAGCTACTTGAATTGGAAGGTCCACGTCATAGGGGCTCATAGGATTAAACAGCTGGGGACTGGCAGAGAGGTCATCCTTGAATTGAGAAAAAAACATCAATAAGGATGTTGTATTAAAACACTGACTTCAACTGGGAGACTACCTTAGGTTCTCTCTCTATTCATCTAGCTTTCCATCATTTTCCCTCAAGTATTATAGCAAAGAAGAGCCTTAGGGTATGAAACCATCATTTGCTTGGCTGTTAGCATATAGAACCTAAATAACTTTTCCTGGTGGAGGTGCACATTTCCCCACTACACCCCAAAGGCAGTCCAGAGCACTGTGCTGATGCCTCAAATTGAGAAATACTGAATACCTTTAGCAGTGATTGGAGGAACGGCGGTGACACTGAGCCTTTGCCATACCTCAGTTCTGCACGTAGCTCACAGAATTGCTCCCGAGTTTTTCCAGGGAGGACCACGAGCACTTTCTGCCTTGCTCTCACTCTGTAACACTCCTCCTTTTCCTACCAACGGACAGCGTCAGCGTTGTGTTGGATTTGTGCAATAGAGGGCAGCAGTTCACGGACCCGTGAGCAAATTAAGCATTCAGCTGCTGGAGGTTACCAGACTAATTCAAGCGAGACGCAGCCAAAGCCAGCATCCTTCCCCAGATCAAGTGATTACAGCACACCACGTATCTGCAGGCAAATGCTTGCATACTAACGCGCTCCTTTATCAGCGTCGTTTAAAAAAGGAATTAGAAGTATTTAAAAGGCATGATGTCATTGAGAAGGCAAGAGTTCAGGGAAGAATTCATTCCCTCCTTCATTGGGGCCACAAGCCTGAAGTCAGAGGAAAGCTTCTTTCAAAAAGGTGACTTCACCTGCCACAGCAGGTGGCAGCTTGGGCTGTCTGTACAAAGGGTTTTGTGTTCATTTAGGCAATTCAAGCACTGAGAGCCTAAAGGGCTTGGAAACCCGAGCACAAATCAGAACAGGAAACTGCATGCAAGGCGGAGCCCCTTCAGTTGGCAGTGACTGCCCAAGCTCTGCAGGGAAAAGGGTTTCCAGATTGATGTGTTCAGCCCTGAGCCAGTGCTGCTCTGTGCTCAGCAGCTCACTTAGCAGTTGTGTGCTCTGCGCCCAGTTACTCTGCAGGATGCCTGCCTAGAGAAAACATTCACAGCTTGTGAAACTCTCAGTGAGTGAGCAATCATCACAGAGGGCTCTTAGTGTAAATAGATACAGGGAGGTCTAGCTCTGAAGTGGGTTCAAAAGCAGCCCTAGAACCGGCTTCTAGATGCAGAGCCCCAGGTGAGATCATCAGGGAAGAACACAGCTGGAGGAAACCCCAGCCCCCCCTTTTCAGCACAGGACCCAAGAGCACTCAGAATTCACTGATGCACATCATAAGGCACCCAAGTCAAATACAAGCATTTTAGAGCAGTAAGCAGTTACTTAGAAATGACAGTGTATTATGGAATATGCATTTTAATATATTTTTCTCCCAGGAACAATAGAAGGAATGTCTCTGCAAGACCTCCAACAGACCAAGCAGCAGCTCTAAAAGAATTGACTGCAGACTAAAACTCAGCTCCATAGGACTTGTCTAAGAAAGTCACAATGCATGTAAGTCATAACAAGCAGAAGATGGTTCACATAAAAGCCTTATCACTGCAAGCATACAGGACTATTCACACATAGCAAAGGGTATCAGAGAATATGAGAAAGAAAGGTAAAAAAAAACCACAGATGAATAGCAAACAGTTGAAGGCATAGCTTAAAGAAACAAGCTAGTGGATGTGCAGTCAAGGGGATTGGAAGCGTGAGCTGGAAAATATATAATCTAAAAGGAACAAAATAAACTGCTAAGGTGGATAGAAAAAGAAAGCCAATCTTCCCTGCAACTGTTTTAGGAAAAGTCTTTATAGGGTTAAATGCTGGGGAAGATGGTCTTCATGTTAGACAGATGCTCAGAGGCTGTGGAAGGGGCACAAAACCACGTTTGCCTTGGGCTGGCTGCCAAGGGTTATTGCTATAGACTCCAGGTTAATTAACTTCACTGAAGGCCCCATCAGCTACATAGCTTTGGACATTTCCTAGCAGCTCCAGAAAAGAAACTCCACACTGATCCTGTGTGAGATCATCACATTTGAGGCAGTGTGAGGGGAAAAGAGCCCTTTTACTTCTGCTGCAGTAGTTTGTGCAGCCCAGGTATTTGTAAATCAAATCCAGCTGCTTTTAGCATCAGACCTGGCTTTTTTTTTTTTTTAATAGCATCCTAAATAACTGCTACTATCAAGTATCTCAACAGGTTTGAAATAGAAAATTCCATTTTATCTGTAAAATCCAAGTTCTACCTCCCCATGTTATACACCTTATGGGGATACATACATTGCTGACTGCTACCAGGAGGTCTCGGAATTTAAGCAGCGTGGGTAAAACTTAGCTTCTAACCTGAAAATGGTGAAAAGGAGAAAAAATGTGTAACTGTGGGAGCTGTGAAAACACAGAGCTAGAAGTACAGCCCTGTACTCTGTTATTGCTGCAGTAACTGCAACAACAGGAAGCCACCTGGAGCCAGGAGAGCCATTTTAAACAGAAAGGAAAAGATTTTTACATACATTTACCAGCCAGCATGAGGAGATTGAGCCTCCTTGCACATAGGCTAGAGCGTAGCAGTGTTTATTCCACAGGAGATGAGAGCAGTCTCGTGCAAGAAGGGCACAGGCTCCTTTGTGCTCCCAGTAGCTCTTGGCCGAAGGAACCCTCCATTTCCCCCATACAAATAAATAATGTAGAAAGTAAGAAGCATGAAGAAACCCAGGGGAAAGAGAACAAGCAGGAATTGCTGCTCTGCAATTTGAACACATGCAGAAAAGCACCATCAGCACAGCGTTGGTGGTATAGTGGTGAGCATAGCTGCCTTCCAAGCAGTTGACCCGGGTTCGATTCCCGGCCAACGCAAGTTGTATTTCTTTTTCTCCCCCCCCAGATACCTGCGTGCCGCAGTGCTCCAGGTACTGCTCCAGTGGCGAGACGTCCTCCATGCGTGCAAAAGCTGTTGCTACCCACCAACCACAGTTTTATAGCACGGGGCAGCCCCGGAGCAGGTGCAGCTCATAGAGGCACAGCTGGTGGTGAACAGCAAGGGGAATTGTGACCTCCAGCATTGTTTTTACTCTTTGCAAGCAGGCTGGTAGATAATTTTCACCTTGGGGATGTGCTGGAGAAATTGGGGTTCTGCCTGGTGCTCCCCATCAGGATACAGGCACAGCCTAAGCCTTTCCGTAGGGTTGTGGATGAGCAAGGAGCCAGAGCTGAGAAGGGAGAGCATGCAAACATAAAGCCTCACCTTTTGCTGTGGCTTTTTAGTGAGCAAGTACAGCAGGCCTTTAGCTTCGCCCACCTGCTCCATCAGGTGTAATAGGGTACAGCTGGTCTTGCAGCACCTCACTGTCAGGGCAGCCTCAGCCCACGTAGAAAGGCTTTAGGTGGTGCTGTCAGGCTCTTCTCACTGCCCCAAGGCAGTGAAAGATGAGGTTTGCATCCTATAGCTACAGAGTAGAGTGTATGTGACTGATGAGCATCTTCGTCTCCTTGGTGCAGCCTGCTGAGCTGGTTCTATGGCATTTTTGGGACTTGTCTTTCCCTGATGGTTTGCAGGTGCCAAATTCCTCTCACCCCAACTTCAATGATTCTGTGAAATTCAGCCTCAAGTGAGTTCATGTGCTTTACACAGGAGACAGAGCAAGGAGGGGACTCTGAAGTTGCACTTAGACTACAGGGGACGGTAAAGCTGGCTTGCACCAGTTCACGATGTCTAAAACTGCAGTGTCCCCTAAGGGCTCCCTGGTGGTTGCAGATAGCACTGCAGGACTGTGTTGCTCTCCCAGCAAATGAATGCTCTGGTTGCGCTCAGACTGGGAACTGGGAGCATTGTGGTGGCTGTGGTGTTCCTCTGGTGCTAACACAGCTGTGCTACTAATTCTCTCATCAGTCTAATGCCGTGATGCTTTGCTAACACCAGCAGTGACAAGCAGAAGCCCTTGGAGATGAGTGGGGTTCATTTTTTGAAGAGCAATTCAGTATCCTTCTTTGTATGGTCATAGAATATCCCAAATGGGAAGGGGCTGCCCATAAGGAACATAGAATCCAACTCCTGGCTCCACACAGCACCACCCAAAATCAGCCCAATTCCTCCTTGGATCAAGAAGATAGCTCTGCAGAGCTGCTATTCCCAGCAATGTATTTGTCTCTTAAATGTTTCCATTGCACACAGCATTATCTGGATGCCACAATCTGGTTATGGGGTGGTACTATTCACAGGAGATTTCCAAAAAGCTGGAAGGGGCATGGGGCAAGTCAGTAAGGAGGCTCTACCTGTTCTATTCATTAATGCTCTCATCGGTCACCTATTCTAGCACCCCTTAAATGTCTTGCTGCTTGCTCTGAAGGTAGTTAATCTGGTTGGGCTTTATCTTATCTTTTTCAGGAACCACTTTGGGAATGAAAAGCCCATGGCTGGCAGCATTCTGCTTTCTGCTCACCTGAGCTTCCTGCTAAGTTTCTGTAGCTGTAATTGTCTATGAGGAGCAGAGTGTCTCAGGTGCAGCTTGTATCTGCTGGTGCCCTCACTGCCTGCACCATCAAAGCCGTGCTTCTGAGGAAGATAAAAAAGCAGCTGAGAGCAAGAGCACCTTCCAAGAAAAGCCATTTATTAAGTGCAAGTTATGTCCCACTGCAATATCTTCCAATTGCCCCACTGCTCTCTATGTTGGTACCAGCAGCAGGACCAGGCTTGTTGTGAAGGAGAGAGTAGATGTTACATTTATTTCAGGGAAGGAGAGAAAGCACCATGAGTAATGGTGAGTAATTTGACATTTAATTGTGAGTAATTAAAGTGTGTCATCATTGGGCTGTGACGGTGTAAAGAGGAACAGAATCAGATCCACTGGATTTGACTTTTAGTGGCTTGCTCTGTGTCAGTTGGGAGTGACCCTCTTACAGGAGTGCAGTCACAAGGCCTAGAAGTTGGGGCAGAGTCCGGTTTAATTTTATGGGATCACTGGATGATGGGAAGGATGGCTGTAAAGTATCACCCAGTGTAAAGTATCACCCGTCCAGCCCTGCGTCAGCCCAGTGGTGAGGCCTCTGCCTTGTCCCAGGCAGCCTGAGGTTCTCTCCTTCATAGAATCATGGAGCTGTTTGGGGTGGAAGAGGCCCTTCAAGGCCATCTAGTCCAAATCCCCCACAGTGAACAGGAACACCTACATCTTCATTTGGTGCTCAGAGGCCCATCCTGCCTGATCTTGAATGTCTCCAGGACAAGGCATCTATCACCTCTCCAGGCAACCTGTGCCAGTGCCTCACTACCCTTATCATAAAGAACTTTTTACTTATATCCCTTATTCCCTGCCAATGCCAGTGGCAGGGGATTGGGCTCTCTGCAAGCACAGGTTTGCTTTCAGCATTTCTGCACATCTCCCATATCCCTGGTAGGGACTGACGTGAGGTCAGTGCTGGGTATGCGTTGGCTTCTGGGCCCAGGGAAGAAATCCCCGTCTGCCAAAGGGAAGAGGGGTGAACTGGCTGGAAAAGAGCCATTCTTCTGCCTTCTGCAGAACATTGTCTGCAATGAAAGCCCTGCCTACTCCCATGTCAGAGAGTTGCTGAGAACCGAACCCGGAAAGGATTGCCAAACCCTCCACTGAATGCCAGAGGAAGCGACATCAAAAAAAGCCATCTGTCTCAGCTGAGAGACTGAATGGTGACTTTAAAACCATACAGTTAGCTGCACTTAATTGTCCTATTTGCCTGAAGCAAGTGATTAAGGGCTTTCTGTATGTTGTTTGCATAGAAATCCACTTCTCCCTGCCCAGCCGCGCTCTGAACGGTTCACACTTGGACTGCAGAGTGGAGGAGAAGAAAGCACTTTGCTCTATTTTTATTTTCTATGCTGCCTTGAAAATGGCTAGAAAAGGCAAATGGGAGCCTTAAACATTGGCTGACACCTTAATTGCTACCTAGCAATTAATGGCTACAGGCTTTCTTGGGCAGCTCACGCATGGATATATCAGACACCTGGTTGCAGAAATGCCTTTTGTTAAGTCATCTCCCTAAATATTGTGCCAAATGCTCTGTGTAGATTGAATTGCATTTAAATGAGGTGAGCGTGCAATGGATCATCTGACTGCTGATGCTTCCCTCCAAGTTTTGTGACAAATGGCTCTAATGCAAGCATCGTGTCTCAAACCCTGAACTTACTCCTCCAATTAAATACTGATCCTTTAAGCCCTGTCTGGAGAAATAATATAGTAACAGCAGTCATGCGTGTTTGCACAGAAAAGCAGAGGTGTGCATGTAGCAGGTGCTAACAGAGCTCTATGAATTTAGTTTGCAGGGATCACAGCAGCACTGAAGACTTGAGCAATTGGGGCTGGGATCCGTGGCATCTTTGGTGCAAGTTCTGCAGGAATTAGAGCACAACCTGCAATGCCTTCGCTGTATGCAAACACTGCAAAGAGTGCTGATGGGTTGCTGAAATCCCCATAAAACAGTGCTGTCTGGCAGCTCAGCAAGATGCAGTGGCTGACATGGAAGGAGTCCTCGGGGCGTGCAGCTCGGTGATTAGTCAGTCCTGGTTACCACTTCCTCCGATTAGCAGCAAGCAAATCAGCATGCTTGAGTCAACAAGGACCTCAGGAGGAACCAGACTTCCCCAAACCACTGCCAGATGTCAGCAGACACTCCGACCCTCCCTCCGACCTTTTTGGGCCTCAATGCTCATAATTAGCTGTTAACATAGACGTGTTTCTGTCGCTCTGCCCCTTCTGCTGCAGGCTGCCCAGCACCATTGTTAGCTCAGCTGTAATGAAGCCATGCACGTGTGGCTCTGCAATGCTGCAGAGCATTGCATCTCCATCGCTGTTCCAAGCAAACAGGAGCCCAGCTGGAATCATGCACAGTGCAGCCTCACTCCCATTTGGATCCTGCTCTTTCTCACTTGCGATCTTTGATCATAGAATCATTTGGGTTGGAAGAAATCTTTAAAGACCACCCTGACCAACTCCTCTGCCAGAGCCCTATCCAGCCTGACCTTGAATATCTCTGGAGGCAGAGCACCTCTTTGGGCAACCTGCTCCACTGCCTCACCACCTTTATTGTAAGAAACCTTTTCCTTATACCCAGTCTAAATCTCCCCTCTTCATT